GAGCAGCTGGCGGGAGCGGGGCAGATGCAGCAGGGAGGTAAAACGGCAGGGCGTTTGAAACGCAGTCCTCTCTGCCCCGCGAGGGAGAGCGTGACTTCTGGCTAACTGCGTGGTTTCTCGGCGTGAAAAACGGCCAGCTTCTGCCCGCCTCAAGGGAACGGGGGCAAGTCCAACGTTTTTGGAAGCGGGATGTGTTGCTCGTTTCGAGACTTGACGCTCCGCTTTTGCTGAAATCCATGCGAGCTGGGTGGTGGCCCCCGTTCCCCGGCCCGGAGGGAAACCTCTTCCCACTGGGCAGGGGGCTTCAAACCAGCCGATCTGCCCCGGGGATGGGACGCCCCGTACCCCTTCAGGGTGTTGCTAGCTCTCACAACCCGTTTGCAAGGCGAGAGAGGGTGGTGCGTCACCCGTCTCTTCCCTGAGCAAGAAGTTGCGCGTGGCACCTTTTCCCACGGCTGGCTTAAACCGAGCTTAGATGGGGTTGCCCCCATCCCACACCCCTCTGGCTGCATGTTTCCCTCAAATTTTCCCCTTCTTCCTGGTACTTCCTGTAGCCAGCGCTTTGGAGGAGACATGAATTTCACAGTTAACTTCTGTGTGAATCTGCCCTTTTCTCATTTCTCTCCCGCCCCCCCTGCCCAAGAAGGTCTTACGTGAGCTGGTGCTTCCACCACCCGACGTCATCCGGCCAGACGACGATGCATTTGACTGTCCCGTTATCCATCATGATCTCGGCGTAGAAGCACTGCGGGAAGGCGAGCCCAAACGCCACCAGCCAGATGATCCCTATGACGACTCGGGTGCTTCCTGCAGAAAGCCTGGGCTTGAAGGGATGAATTATAGCCACATACCTGCAAGAAAGGTGGGTAGCGCTTTTACTGTTGCGTCGATAAACCATACAAAAAAAATATATGTAGGAAGAGTAAAAACTCAACAAATGATATGGTGGGCTTTAACGACTATAAATAGTTGGAAGAAACTAATCATCTCTTAAGAGAAGCAACTATGAGTCTCAAGGCAGCGTATCTTAAACGCGTGCGGATGGATGCTTTTGGCGTGGAGAGGAAGCAATCATCTGTGCCTTCTTCCTGTGCTCCTTTGCAAGTCTTCCCCTTGCTTTGCATTCCTCACTGTTGTTTCGTCGTTCATTTTTCAAACGAGCTTACGTGAAATCCCGGGGCTGAGCTAGAACCGGGGAGCTTTGGAAAAGGCCAAGCACAGTCTTTTGGCCCTCACCTCTCCCATGAATGTGTACCGCGCGCTTAAAATAATACCGACAGCTGAGCATAGCGTTGCTGTGACACTGATGCAAGGTGCCTAAACGCGCTGTTCCCACTAATTCTGTCAATCGTTGATGCCCCATGTTATCACAAGAGCAGTGTCTTGCACATCCTTTACCCTGTATCTTTTTCTCCCGGCAATGCGTTTTAGCAGTGGAAAATTTGTGCCACCCACCTCCGGCTGTAGTCGCTCTAGCGCCTGCGCTCGTGGCTTAGGGCAAAAGCTGATCCTCGCGGCTCCCACCTGTCGGGAGCCCTTCCCGGCCCATCTGACTATTGGGTTACTGCAAGCCCGGCGGGCCGCCTGGTTTTGAGTTCACTGTGCAAAAATGCACGGCACTGTAGTGAATACTTGGTCAGTTATGCGTTTCTTGTCGTGCCGTTCGCGTTCCTTGTCATAGTTGTTTCGAAAGCAAAACAGAGTGGAAAAATGCCAATCGCGTCCCGATTTTCAGAGCTGACAAATTCTGTGCTGCCTCTCGGCCAGGCCTTTGGGGGAGAAATCTGCCTGGGAAAGGATAGCGGACGGACGCGTGGCACGGTACGTAGCCCAGAGCTGCAAGGTATCCCAGCCTTATTTAGCTGTCACATTCTTATGTCTCCTTGCATTTCTTAGGCTTATAGTAGGTGGTATTATACTTTGCTAAAACCCGGTTTTCCACGGTTTCCCACGCAGCAGAGCTGCCTGCCCAGTTGGGTGCTGCGCCCCGGCACGGTGCCCTGCTCCTGGGACATCCCGGCACCCCTCAGCCCCCCGAGCCAAGCGACGGGATCAGCTGCACTGGGGAGCTTGCGGCGCTTGTGCAAGCTTCCTGGAGACGGCCCAGGAGACTTGGTTATCTGGAGCGCGAAACTCGAGCCGCTGCTGCGTTCCCGCCTGGAGCGCTGCCCTTTCTGCAGCCGCAACGGCCGCTCCGCCAACCGGCGCAGCCCGAAACGGAGCTGCAGCGCGGTCCTAGACCTTCGCCGTGGCAGAGACGGTTTTGAGCTCCCTCGCTGCTTAGCCTCCTTCCTTACAACGAACTGCTTCGATGGACGTCGTTTTATCAAAGTTAAACAACTGAGCCCAAGAGGACGCCGGTTCTCATAACAATAAATGGAAGCTGACAGTGTCAGCATCTATTTTAAGGTCAAGCAAAGAATAGCTAAATATGGCTTGCAGGGAGATGCCAAGTTTTCCTTCTGAGCCTCGCCGTGTGACCCCAGAGATTTTGGCTTTATAGGTACTTTACCAACAATTCCCAAGGAATGAGAGTAGGGAGACGTGAGGAGAGGCTGAAAGGGAACTAAAGGAAAAAAAAAAAAAAAGAGCGTTCTTTGGCAGACTCCACGTATAAAATAACTGTTATCAACAATGTGTGATTTAAAGCCAGGAACAGCGAAAGCGTTTCTGCGTTTAAAACAGAGATGCTGTCCCTTCTAAACGCAGATTTGCTTTTATTTGGACAACCGCGGGCTAAGGAGCACGTCGTTCCTCTCTCTCTCTCTCTCTCCTCGTCAGCGAACCTTTTAGCTAGCCAGTACCCTGCGTTTTGGAGGCTGCACGTCAACCCAGGACGCCTCTGTAATTCGGGTGTCCGTAGGCGTTACGTTGCAGGGCAGAGCCTCGTTTTTGCCGGCTCGTCTGTTTATCTCGTTTGATTCGTCTGTCGCTGGGCTCCTGGGGCTGGGTGCGTCAGCCCGCGCCGCGCCGATGACGCTCTGGATGGCTCCGGAGGGACGTTGGCGTCGGTCCCGAGGGAGCTGGAAGGGCCCTTCTCCGATAGGCGTCTTTGAGAAGCAATGGCAGATATTGGTAGGAGACCCCAAATATTTCTGGACGATGGGTTGTGCTTGCTCAGGACGGCAAGGCAACGCGAGGGGGCCGGGGAGGGACTTTTATATTTCATTGCCCATAAGAAAGGAAATTACCATGGACTTTTGACTATTTCCAAGTAAACAGGAAAAAAAAAAAAGCGTTATGCTACTTAACAACGAACTGTACACACATTCACGCTCCCCAAATCTAAGCTTGAGTAAAAGAGACTCGGCAGACCAGGAGAGAGTACTAGGAAAATGCTAAATTGCCTCAAAAGTCAAACAAAAGAAGAACCTACTTTTCAGTTCGTAACTGGCATCTAACCCCCCAGTCTACTTGCTCGTCCCCTTCCTACCTTGCGGATAAGGCGCCTGCCGTGGTAGGTGGGGGCCAGCTGCACAAAGTATTGCACTAGTTTGTTTGGCTTTTTTTAAAGCTCGCAGCAAATGTTTTCAGCCGTTATCTTTCCCGTTCTGCTCTTACCTCTCTGCAGCAACGGCCGTCATGGAGTAAATACTCACAAACATTGCGGTAATGGGGAACCAGTTCTGAAACCTGCAGAATTCCTCGCCGAAATACCACACGTTGTGGCTGGCGTAAATAAAATTGAAGATGGTGTTGAACGCGGACATCAGCAGGTCCGAAAGGGCCAAATTCACGATGAAGTAGTTGGTGGCAGTCCTCATCCTCCTGTGCGCGAGGATGATCCAGATGATGGTGACGTTGCCGACGATCGACGCGACGACTATGAGGGAGTAGGTGATGGCCCACAGCGCGATTTGCCATCCGGGCTGGGTGAACTGGGTTACGGCCGTCCAGTTGCCGCTGTCCTCCAGGGAGTCCGCCTGGGAGACGTTGCTCGCGTTGACCTGGGAAACCGCGCTCATGTTTTTCCTTCGGCGAGGCATACAAAGCACCTCTTCGGGCGCCTGCTGGCTTTTTCTTGCAGTAGTGGCTGGCGTTACGAACCCCCGCGTACGCGCCTGAAGTGCTGCTAGAAAGACCTGCGGATGCGGCGTCTGATGTCCTCTTGCTCTCTTTCTCCAGTGATGCAATGTCGCTCCCGGGGAGGATGTTCCTCAGCGAGGGCCTCCCTGCCTGGCATTTCCACTGAGCGTGAAGAGCGAAAAAACAAAGCAACCCCCCCCAAATCTCTCCTCCTTTGAGTTCCTTTTCCCCTAAAACGGAAAGAAAGGAGGAAAAAGAAAAAAAAAAAAGAGGGGAGGTTTCCCAGGTCAGTAACAGGCAATCTCTGCCTTTAGGTTATTTTTAGGGCTAAGGAAATATAAACGCAAGTATCAAGCCATAAGGCATTTTAATCCGAGTGGAAACGCTTCTGCTTTGGGCCAGCGATCCTCCGAAGCGCTAGGTGCCTGGACCCGGCGGTGGGCCGGAGGACGCGTCCTTATCCCCGCCTGGCGGGACTGCTAAGTGCAAGGCAGCAGCCGGACTGGGATGAATTTTCTACAGGGTTCAGGCAACTCGGAAAGGAGGTGGAGTCTCTCGCAGGCAAAAACTAAACAAGCACTTTGACATGAGATGTCGTGCGGCTTCTGTTTTCGAAATAATCTCCGGAATGGACGCGCCGCTTTCGGGATTTATACGCCGAAGTGCGAGGGGAGCCGTTGTGCTGGGTCGATCCCGGCCTTTCTTTACCTGTGCTGCCGAAGCTGTCTGCAGAAAGCCGCTGGCTTTGCGCGCGCGCGGCAGAGAGGAGGAGGAGGAGGAGGAGGAAGAGGAGGAGGGGGACGCCGTGCCCCTAGCAAAGGGGAAGCCCTGGCTCCGGTGCCTGCTCGGACGGAGGTCAGGTCTCTCTCTCTCGCTGTCATCCTTTGAATAAACCTACATAAAACCTAAACAGCACGTCGAGGCTGAGATTTCAAAGAGCACTTGGCATTGGCCCCGGGCCTGCTCTGATGGAAGCTAAAAGTCTGTCAGATATTAAAACCTGTTTTCAGGACTCGGAAGGCTCCTGCTTCATAACGCAAAGGAAAAACTCGCCCTGGGCTCGCGGCGCTGGCACGGCGCTAGTTTTCCAGCTCTCGTCGCTCCCCGAGCTCCAGCCGTGCCCGGCTCCTCTGTAACAGAGCGGTGCGTATCAGTTCAGGGCCCTCTTCACCGGTGGGGACCTCCGGACAGCTTCAGCACGGTCTCTTCCCTTGCTTCAGTGATTTCGGACGGCAGCCGTCACTTCAGCCATCACCACACCGCAGCAACTCTTGGGAGCAGCCCTTCTCCGAGGCGGCGTTACCGAAGAGTTGTTCTGCAGAAATAAACACCTGCAGACCGATGCGGGGTATCACCTACGCCGCGGGATGGACTTTGCCCCAGGAAAGCCCACTCGCTTCCCTACCTGGAAAGAGCAAAAAAAACGAAAAAAAAAAAATCCATTTTTGGATCTCGCCTCCCGTGGATTGCAAAGCCTCTTCTCGAAGGTCTTCCACTGACACCTCGTTAAGTAGCTTACGAACTTTCCGCTTGCTGTATACAGTACAGGGGAGCTTTTCATTTGTTTTGCAATATGGGTTCAAGGGTGAATAGCGTTCTTCAGGCTTTCGCTTCGGCTCACCCAAATCTCTCCAAACTCCAAAGAGAGCACGAGCAAAAGCCTCCGTGTGTTTATCCGAGAGAGCGGAGCTGAAGCCCTTCGTTAGTCTTTGCAGAACGTATAAACAAGCACTTAGAAAAAGAGCTGCACCTTTTCTTTTCTTTTTTGCCGTTTCGGTGATGGAACAAGAACGTCTTGGACGACTTTGGTGCGAGGCTGGTCGGGAGGGCGCCTGGG